CACTAATAGGCAGCCTCATGTTAGTTTGCATTTATAAAACTAGATCACATTCTTTTTTTTAAAAAAATTTATTTGTAGATGGATGCAATACCTTTATCTGTTTATTTTTATGTAGTGTTGAGGATTGACCCAGTGCCTCACATGTGGTAGGCAAGTACTCTACCGCTGAGCTCCAACCCCAACCTTTGATCATATTCATTCTCTCTCTGTCTCTCTCTCTCTTTTTAACATTTTTAGTTGTATATGGACATGATACCTTTTATTTAGTTATTTATTTTTATGTGGTGCTGAGGATTGAACCCAGTGCCTCACATGTGCTCTACCACTGAACCACAACCCCAGCCCCTGATCATATTCTTTGTTATTATATCATCAGGTAATTTGGATCTATCTTGCTTCTTGTGGGAGTCCTAAAGAATATCTTATATGATTACAATATGCTGGGAGCAGAGATTTTAGACCATAGGTTCTTTTTTTATTTCATTAGAACTATGGATGCACCCACGGGCGCTAAACCACTGAGCTACATCCCCAGCCCCCTTGAGGGTTTGTTTTGTTTTGTTTTTTTAAATACTTATTTTTTAGTTGAGGTTGAACACAATATCTTTATTTTATTTATTTATTTTTATATCGAACCCAGAGCCTCGCACATGTGAGGTGAGCGCTCTACTGCTGAGCCACAACCCCAGCAGCCCCCATGAAGTTTTTTGTTTGTTTGTTTGTTAATTACAGTCCAGGTTTTCCAACCCTGGTTTGGGTTCTGTGGGAAGGTTTCTGCTCTGGTAAGTTGTGACTTTCTTCAGTTTGGATGATAGCAGTTTGCCCTATGAACTCATTCCTCTGATAGACCTAAAAATGATTGTTGGTTTTTTCAATTTTTTTAGCTTTTTATTTGTTGCTAGGATGAAGCCTTCCAAGCTCCTGTACACTAGAAGCTGTCTATTTCTTTTTAGTAAGTACCATACAATTGTCTAAGCTACAATGTTAGATATTTTCATGAAAACACTGATTGTGATTACATTGATTGGAATGTGGGTGTTATCAAAACTACCCAGCCACCTGCTTAAAGATTATTTAATAGAGTAAATTACTTTATATAATCCCTTTTAGAAGCCCAGATCTACAGAACTGGAAGTTAATGCAGAAATCATGTAACTTAATATCTTTGTATTAAATATTAAAAACAAAACAAAACAAAAAATAGCTAAATGTGGTGGTGCATGCCTTTAATCCCAGCTACTTGGGAGGCTAAGGCAGGAGGATTGCAAATTCAAAGCCAGGCTGGGCAACTTAGCAAGACCCTGTCTCAAAATAAAAAGGAATGGAGATGTAGCTCAGTGGTACAGCACCCCTGGGTTTAATCTCCAATATTGGAGCAGGGGGAAAAGGGCCTGACATACACAATTTTTTTTTTTAACTGAAGATTGAATCCAGGGGCACTTTACCTCTAAACTACATCCCCAGCCCTTTTTATTTTTTTATTTTGAGACAAAGTTTGGCTAAGTTGCTGAGGCTCGCCTCCAATTGTGATCCCCACCGCTCTGCCTCCTGAATCACTGTGATTACAGGCATCCACCACTGTGTCTGACCTGGCCCTGAATTTACTAACTTTGTGCAGTGATTTCCACATCTAAGGCCCCTGATTTTAAATTCCTCAGTGTGTTGCTTGAGACCTCCGATGGGGCAGACAGGAGGCACCTGCCATGCAGGTTAAATGTTACTAGTCCTTCATTAGATTACCTAGGGTAGATCAGTCTTCTGGAGCTCTCTTTTCTAGTGGCAAGCTTTGGCCTGTCTCTCTCCCTTAGGTAAATACCAAAGCAAAATACTTCCATCTCTGAATCTCAGCAGGGAGTGTCACACCCCTAGGTTCAATCCCCAGTACCATTGCCCTCCCCTCTCCCCCACATACACACAAAAAAGTTTTTGAGAAACAAGTGTACAATATTATCCACCTTTGCCTAAAAGTGCCCCATGCCTCTGATCTCAATGACAGGGAAGGCTGAGGCAGGAGGATCATAAGCTAGAGGCCAGCTTGGAATACCCTGTCTCAAAAGAGAAAAGGGCTGGGGTGGTGGTAGAGCTCCCAGGCTTCAACTCCAGTACCACACAAAAAGTAACGTTTATTACTTTTTGCCCTAATTTTTTAAAGCAATAGTCCCACGAAGAGTCCAAAATCTTGTAAACTAACAATTTATAGGAGAGCTGGAGATGGAATGGTATAGAAATAATGGGGAAACAGAACATTCCCTTTATTCACATAATCTGCAAATATTTAACTCCTATGTGTAAGACATTGTTCAAGGACCTAAAAATACAGCAGTGAATAAAGTCCTTGTTTTCATGGTGCTTACTATAGCGGAACACACAACAAATAAGTTATATATCAGTTGATAAGTGCTACAGTGAAAAATGAAGGAAGAAAGGTTACTATTTATGAAGTCTTAGGGAATGCTTCTCAGATAAGTCTTGAGCAGAGCCCTTAAAGACTATGTGCAAACATCTAGGGAAAAAATATACCAGGGAGAGGGGAAGCGTGTGAAAATTCCTGACGTTGAAATATGCTTCGTGCATTTGAGGAGCAGCGCGGAAATTAAATATCTCAAGCGAGATATGGGAAGACCAGAATAGTTGGGAGAAATCAGACAGGCAAGAGTGGGATAAAGGTGCAGGTCCTTGCTTGGAGATCGAACTCAGGGACGCTCTACCACTGAGCTACATGAGAATCCAGTATTTTCTTTTGAAACAGGTCTTGCAATTTAGCCCAGGCTGGCCTTGAACATTCCATTAGATCTTCCCACTTTAGCTTCCCGAGTCGCTGGGATTAGACGCACACAGCCCTGTCTCCGCTGCAGGTTTTTAAAAAGTGGAAGGGCAAACCGAGCACGGTGGCCCGGGCCTGTAATCCTAGGGACTGGGGAGGTTGAGGCAGAACGATGGCAATTTTTAGACTAACCTCAGCAATTTAATGAGGTTCTATTAAACTTGGCAGGAATGAACCTAAATACTCACCCAAGAGCGAGCTCTACCACGGAGCAACTTCTAGTCTATTTTTGTAGATGCTTGAAATTTTTCACAATAATTTTGTGTAAACATTTAGTTTTAAAAGGTAATTCATCTTACGCGTTTTTCCTCCTCTAAACAAACATCCCCTGAAAGCTGTCTATAGCTAGTAAACCCAGTCGTCTGCTTTTTGCTTCTCCTAAAAGAGCAAAACCCAGTGTTCAGCAGTGGTAAAATAAATCCTTTGATTCGACAGCGAAAATTCCCGGCACAAAACAGACGCGCTCAGGGAAACGAATTTTTTTTTTTCCTTAGGAATTAGTGTTTCTTTTTTTTTTTTTTAACGTTACTACAAACTCCCAAGACCGATCCTACTTCCACAAAGAAATCAAAACGCAAGACCCTTGTGATCCGCGGAAATGACGCCACGCGCTGAAAGTTGTCTGTGGGTTCCGAGGCGGGGCGGGGCGGGCACGGACGTCAGCACGTCGGCCTTCTCTTCTTGGAGAAGATTGACAAGGGCGCCCGGGCTGGCGCCAGCCGCGCAGTACTCCCGCAGGAGCCTGGTCGACTGCGGCTGCGCAGGTATGCTGGGGCGTGGCTTCTAGTCATCCGCCCCTGCCTAGCCGGAGCGACCATTGAAGAGCGGCAGCCCGAGGGCCGGGTAAATCCCTAGCGCCCGGAATGATTAGCCCAGGGCCGCCCCGCCCCGGCTCCTCCCGCCCTCGCGCCCCGCCTCGTGCCTTCGCCGCCCCGCCTCCCTCGCCTGCCCGGCTGCGGGGTGACACTGGGCTTCGCCCTGGGAAGGGGGCGAGGGCAGCAAGAGAGACGGCGGCCGGGTGGCGGCGACTGGCACCTTGTGTGAGCGCAGGGAGGGGAAAGGGGAGATTGGGAAGAGGGAGCCGCGCGGTGTGAAATGGGAGGGGTGCTTGGTAGTGGAGGGACGGTAGAGCGAGGGGCGGCGGTGAGGGGGCCAGGCTGTCCCGGGCGTGTCCTGCTGTAGTCCGGCTGGCATCGGTTGCGGGTCGGGGGACGCCAAGCTGGCGTTGCCTCATTTCTAAAGCTTTTCTTGGCAGCTTTGGCATATCTTAAGTTTGCCTCTGCTTGGGTTGTCTGGGATGCGGGGAGGAAATTTAAAGATCCCCGTAACACTTGGAGGTTTTCCCGGGATCTTTTCCTAGCTGTGTGTGCGTGCTCCACTCTTCTTCCTGGATGGAGAGGTAGAGAGGCCAGGTGGACAGGTTGACTTTCACTCTCTGAAGATTGTTAAAACAAACAAACCAAATTCCTCCCGCCCTCCCCCACGCCCTGCCCTGCAACGCAACAAACATTCCCAACAACTTTAAGAAACACACTAGAAATTTCTGAGAGATTTTTTGTGTTTGAAATATGTGCTTTGACTCATATGCATGAGGCCCTGGTTCCATCCCCAGCACCGGGTTTGGGGGCGGTGGGAGATGGCTTTGTCCTTACGTTTATAAAATGTATGTGAGTGAAAAGGGAGACTTGCACGTATTCTTAATGCATTTTTGGGTGTTCGTACTCATAAATGTGCTGTAGATTCTAGGACTTAATATTGATATTATATATTTTGTTAATTGCTGTGTTTTCCTGAATCTAAAGTGTCTATGAAATCTAAAAAGTATAAAAGTTTATCCCATTGATGGTATCAACTCAAGCAGATAAATCCCTTGTTTCTGACAAGTCTAGATTCTTTTTTAAAAATACGACCTCTTTTGAACCAACCTTTGGACTTTGTTTTTTCTTTCACAGATTTATTTAATTGCCTAGCTACCACTGATGAGGATATATTGAAGTAACCACTGAAACTGCCTTTTGTTGACCAGAGAGTCCAATTGTTTCACTTATTTTTGTTTGCTCTACTGCTGTGAGCTTTACTGTAACGACTGAGAAACTTGGAAAATAAAATGAACTTGCTGTGGTCTTGAACATAATTTTTTGAGGAAAATAAAAGTGCCAGAGTGAAAGCCAGAATGGCATCCAGAGAGAGACTCTTTGAACTTTGGATGCTTTATTGTACAAAGGTAACTGCTTTCCTTTTTATTTCTATTTTAAAAATACTTCACTATAAAATTTTGTAACCAGACTTTATTTAATGGATAATAGGGTATTTATTCATTCTAATGACCCCAAACTAAAAACATGTAAGGGATTTTCCATTTCCCACTCTTCAGGTTTGAATACATACATAATATTGACAGACTATAGAGTCTTTTATTTGATTCTTGTCTTCAGTTATTTCAAAATTGTATAAGTCAAATTATTCTCTTAAGAGGAAAAAAATAAAACCAACCTTTTCTTACTAAAGGTTGAATCCAGGGGCACTCTACCATTGGACTACATCCTCAGCCCTTTTTTAATTTGGGAAGGGTTTCCCTGAGTTGTTCAGACTGGGCTGAAACTTGTGATCCTCCAGCTTCAGTCTCCAGTGTAGCTGGGATGACATTTGCCATTATGCCCGGCTAAAAAGTTTTTATTTTTGTTTATGCTTTTTTTTTTTTCCCCCCTACAAGTGGGAGTAGGATAGAGCCTTTTTCGTGAGGAAGGCATTAAGCATTTTTCTCATAGCTAACCTTTTAAGTTGTATATAAAGGTTATTGATTGCTATGCCAACACTTGAGAGCCTTGTCTCAGTTGCTCTTCACTACAGTTCTGGGAGGTTGATTTATAACTATCCACTTTTACTGCTGAGAAAACTGATGCAGGGGTGAACCTGAAACACAGTAGTGCCTGACTCATGTCCATGCTTTTAACTATTGTGGCTGCCTTAACATTTTTATTTTTGTTATTCAAAAAATAATTTCCTTTTTCTTTCTTGTCTTTATGTGTATTTTTACATGATAGCTTTGATTTTATCTTTGATTTTAGGTTATTGAGAAGAGTGTATCATAAAAACACATTTTCAAGTATTTACTCTGAAGATACTGGCAAGGGTCGGAGAAACATCCCTAATCTATTCAAGTTAATTTAGGTCTGGGTAGTGAAATTCTCAAGTTATAGCATTTATTTCAGCATTATCCCTTTAGCCTCCTTTCTTATGCTTTCAGTTCTTCAAAATATTTTTTTAACTTCTTGGTTTGATAGGCATTATAATTATTAAATGACATATACCTTGACATGTTTAATATAAATTTTTAAAATAGCTTTTAGTCTTCTGTACTTTAATGCCAGAAATATCTTTTTAAAAATAGACAATTCTTCCAATAATAAATTAATCCAAATCATCAGACTCTTGAAAATAGTAACTAACACATGTTGGCCAAAAATTTAAATGAAATTTTAATATGAATGTCTAGTAATTTAAAAACAATTTATTGAAAAGATAAGCTTTCATTGTTTTCAGAATGACAAAAGGTAAATGAGGTTACATGGTTTTATTAATAAATTATATTGTTTTTGTGTAGATTTAATATTTAAGTGACACAGTGCTTGTTGAAAAGATAGTGTATGTAGTTCCTTGGCATACACTGAATTTTATTCTTAGTGACTTTTTTTTTTTGGGTACCGGGGATTGAACTGAGGGGCACTTGACCACTGAGCCACATCTCCAGCCCTGTTTTGTATTTTATTTAGAGACAGGGTTCCACTGAGTTGCTTAGCACCTGGCTTTTGGTGAGGTTGACTTTGAACTCGAGATCCTCCTGCCTTAGTCTCCCTAGCCTCTAGGATTACAGGTGTGCGCCCGACACTTAGTGACTTTTATATAAGTATGAACCCTTAAATTCATTTTAAATTTTCTGTTCTTAATAATGAAGGGTCCTCATGGTCAATTTTATTTTATTTTTTGCTGAGCTAGGGATTGAACTCAACTCTACTTTGTGCCAGGCAAACACTCTTATCATTGAGCTATTGTTTCCAGCCCCCTATGGTCAAATTTTGAAACCTGTTTTTTCTTGAATAGGAAGATAAATTCTTATTTTATGTTTAAGATTAAGTCCTGTGTAGCCATGTACAGTGGTGCATGCCTGTAATTCTAGTGACTCATGAGGCTGAAGCAGGATGATTTTGCAAGTTCGAGATCAATCTCAACAACTTAGTGAGACTCTAAGGACTTAGCAAGACCCTGTCTCAGAATAAAAAATAAAAAGGGTTGGGGACGTAGCTCAGTTGTTAAGAGCCTCTGGGTTCAATCTCCATTACAAAAGAAAAAAAATTATGGCGTATACTTAATAAGACATATTTTTTCAGTTGTTTTCAAAAAAATATTTAAAATCATGTTTCATCATTTTATAGATAATGTACTTATTAGATAATAACTTTTTCTTCTGAAGACACCTTGAATAAGATACCTACCAAATCCAGCAAATAGATTTAATTCTTCTTCCTAATGAGGATGATCACTGAATACTTAGTTCTTTGGATTTTCTAGCTATAATTGTTCCTAGTAGTTAGCTCCTCAGAAATCACCTGACTTTTCCCCCATCCAACAAACTTTTAAGCCTTTTTTTGTTTGCTTTTTACAGTTTTGATGAGCTTTCACATGACTTCAGGACTGCTCAGATCTTTTCGTAAAAATGTTTTCTGTAACTTAGTTCTTAGAATTTCTTAGACTTTTTTTGTGGGCTTATGATTGTGAAGTCTAATTTTGATTCTGCTGCTATTCTCTTTTGTGACCTTGAGCAAGACTTACCTCTTTGAGTCTCAGTTTTCTTATTTGTTGAGTAAGAGTGTGTATACAGGGAGAATGTTTTGTCTTACTTCTTAGTTAAGATTTTTGTTTGTTTTGACCTCTGAGGGATAGGTAGGATTTTTTTTTTTTTTTTCTTATTCTGTAGCTTATTGTATAAAACCTTTTAGTTGTCCTTTCTTAAGCTTTCATTATGGAAAATTTCAAGCATGCACAAAGTAGAGAAGAAGGGTTAACTGTTTTGTATCTGTCACCTTGTTTCAACAATGATAAGTTTGATAAGTTTGTATTCAGTCATTTTTCATCTCTGTAACCTTTCATATCCCCTATATCTATCCTGAATCATTTTAAAGCAAATCCCAATTTGTGATCTTACCCATAGTTAATCTACAATACAGTATTTTTTTGGTATCAGGGATTGAGCCCAGGGATCCTTAATCACTGAGCCACATCCTCAGCCCTTTTTTTATTTTCCATTTTGAGATAGGGTGTCACTATGTTTCCCAGGGCCTCACTGTGTTGCTGAGCCTGGCCATGTTGGTGATCTTGGCTTTCAACTTGTGATCCTCTTGCCTCAGCCTCCCAGAGCCTCTGGGATTATAGACCTATTCCACAAAACCTGGTCCAACACAGTAATTCTTTAAATTATCAAATTTGTGGTCATGTACTAACTTTTCTGCAAGTGTCATAATATTCTTATTTTCCCACTGTTTAACTTAACATTTATTTATGTATTAAAAAATTTTTTTTAGTTATTGGTTGACCTTTATTTAATTACTTATATGTGGTGCAAAGGATCAAACCCAGGGCCTTGCACGTGCTAGGCGAGTGCTCTCACTGAGCCACAACCCCAGCCCTAACTCAATATTTAAATAAAGTATAAGCATTGTATTTGTTGAAAATATCTGTGAAACTTTTAAATGTACAGGTTCCTCCTTACCAGACTTTCTTCCTTGCTGTTTGTTGCAGAAATCTTTTTTTTCAAATTACAAAGAATTTATTTCTGTAATACAGAGAATACAACACATTCAAATAAAGCAAAAATAAAAATAAAATATAATTTCATGAAATGAATTAGAAACTGAATATAGGCATAAAACATTATTCCTACATCATAGAACATATTGTTTAAGGGTAAGAGATTAATATAACCACAAAGAATAATTAAGGACAAGATGTCAGAGGACAGATTTCCATAAATGAGATAGAGTAATACAGACAATGGGACAATTCATTCAATACTGATATTTAATGAAGAATATCCTGAGATCTGAAGAATAGATGCTAAACTCCTAATAGGGAAAAAGCACCCAAAAGCTAGTGATAACATGTGTGAAGATTTGAGAATAAACATGGAAAGTTTCAGGACCTGAAAATAGATGCATTGCTATTAAGTGAATTGTGTTCCCCCCAAATTTATATGTTGAAATTCTAACCCTCTTGTAACTCAGAAATAGAACTATATTTGGATATAGGTCTCTTTATTTTATTTTTTTCTTAAAAGTTAGATTTTAAATTAATATAGACTGACAGTAGTAACCCTTAAAAATCAAAACATTGACAAAAAAAAAAGAAACCAGGTTTTTGACCTCAGAGTTTTCTAAACTCTGTTTTGTTTTTGCTAGTTGACTTTCCTTGATTTTAGTTCTCTCTGCTGATGTTTGTAGACTGGCTAATATAATACTTAACTGATTCAGGTTCTATAACAGATATAGAAGGCAGTCACCAGTGATTTTTGCCTAACTGTATTATTTCATTAGGATTTTGCAAAACTATATTCTTTTCATTTATTAGAACACACAGAAATATTCCTTCATCAGTTATTGATAAATTTTCTTGAAGGGAAGGCATGCAGCATAAATGTTTGATTTAAAAAAAAAATTTCAGAACAATGATTTGATTTGCTAGCATCCTGCCAAGTTGTTTTTCTTTAGTATCAAATTCATTTTTTTCTTTTTCATATTTTAATTGGTGCATTTTTATATTTGTACATAATGATGAGATTTGTTGTTACATATTTGTACATGCACACCATATAACAATATAATTTGGCTAATATAATTCCCTAGAACTTTCCCTCTCTCAAGTTCATCATTAATTATTAAAATTTAAACAATGTCTACTATTGTGCTGCCTTACCTTGTTTGTTTTTTTACATAAGACATCACATACAAACTTGACTAAAGACAACTTTGAAGATTTATCAAGTTCTGGTTCAGAACAGTAAGGTTAAGATATCTTCCATTTTGCCACAGAGCTAACCTTGGCACAGGTCATCCACAGTGTATCAGTAATGGGTTAATATTAAAGTTCCATGATAGTGTTTTTATGGAATGCAATGTTTTGAAAGTTGTTACTGAACATTATAAAAGCTTAGTAGGTTTTGTAGGTAGTAGG